AAAAAAAAGAAAGAAAAAGAAAAGAAATAGTAATTTTGGCTGGGCACATGGCTTATACCCATAATCTTAGTACTTTGGGAGGTCAAAGTGGGAGGATCACATGAAGTCAGGAGTTCAAGAGCAGCCTAAGCAAGAGTGAGACTTTGTTTCTACTAAGAATAGAAAAATTAGCTGGGTATAGAGGGAGGAGCATATAGTTTCAACTATGTGGGAAGCCGAGGCAGGAGGACTGCTTGAATCCAAGAGTTTGAGGTTGCATTGAGCTAGGATGATGCCACTGCCCACTAGCCCAGGCAACAAAGCAAGCACCTGGCTCCATAAATAAATACATGAAAATTATAATTTCAACTAAGTAGGATTTCTCCTTCCTTTTTTGACCCTGCTTTGTGAAAAACTGTAAATACAACACATGCATATCAGAAACACAGGCAATTTTCATACCTCAAAAATATTTTTTTTTTTTTGGAGACAGAGTCTGATTCTGTTGCCCTGGTGTCATCATAGCTCACAGCAACCTCAAACTCCTGGTTTCAAGTGATCCTCCTACCTCAGCCTCCTGGGAAGCTAGGACTGCAGGCACTCATATCCATGCCTGACTAATTTTTTCTATTTTAAGTAGAGGCAGGGACTCACTCTTACTTGGGCTGGTCTTGAACTCCTGAGCTCTAAGTAATCTTCTGCCTCAGCTTCCCAGAGTGTTAGGATTATAGGTGTGAGTCACTGCACCTGGCCAAGTTATTTTTCACATATAATCAGAATGTCATACTCACACCTAATAATTCCCTACTATCACTTCATAGATTGGTGGCCTTAGGGGGGAGTTCTTTGTAAAACATTAAGAACCCCCATAGTCAAGAATGAAAACTAGGTCCTCAGCTGTGTCCTGTTCACTTACTTTACTCTGTATTTGCCCCCTACCCTTTGCTGGCCAGCCCAACACAACACAGGCAGCCTTTGGAAAATCTCATTTAGAGCCATGGTGATGGGGGTGTTGCTCCTCTTTGGGCAATACTATCACCATAAAATTTGCCTTCAAGGAAGGATAAGGGACTGGTTGTATTAGGAACATCTATCACTGGCATCTCTTCCCTGACCCAGATGGCTCTGTATAATCCAACAGAAGTGACTCCACCCTTCACTCCCGTGGATATGCAATCTCCACAAACAATCCCTCATCTATTGCTACTCTGCCCTGCCATACGTGGGATGTGTACTCTAAGGAGTTTCAACAGGACTTTCTGGCCAGGTACTTACCTGACACCATCTATGAAATGATTGGATTGTTCTGTGTCAGTGTACAGATATAAAAATAACTTCTGTACATTGCCTTTCTCTCCTCTCACTTTACTGAATTTGTTACTTGCTCCCCCAACATGTGCTGAAGTCTAAGCATAAAAAAATGATACCGGTGAATAGCAAGACAAACTCTGGGGCTTGGTGGGTTGTTATTAATAAAACACAATGTTTCCAGCTACTCCTCTAGTAAGAAGACAATAAAAACGTCACACTTTGAGTATATCAAATGTGGAGGGTCTCCCCAAAATGCATATACATTTTAAGAAAGGAATAGCTGTGTCAAAATTGTGATACTTGGGGCAGCACCTGTGGCTCAATGGGTAGGGCGCTGGCACCATATACTGAGGGTGGCAGGTTCAAACCCAGCCCCAGCCAAACTGCAACAAAAAAATAGGCGGATGTTGTGGTGGGCACCTGTACTCCCAGCTACTCACGTGGCTGAGGCAAGAGAATCGCCTAACACCAGGAGTTGGAGGTTGCTGTGAGCTATGACATCACAGTACTCTACTGAGGGTGATAAAGTGACACTCTGTCTCTACAAAAAGAAAGAAAAAAAAATTGTGATAGTCAAGCCATGTTTATAAGAGATGCACAAATGTGACTTATATTCATCTTTTGCTATCAGTATATATTATTACAATTTTAGTACAATTTTTCCTTTCTTAAAATGTGTATACATTTTTGACACCCTCTCTGTACTTTCCTATTTCCACTAATAGTGAGGATATTCATAAGGATAATCTCGGCAGCTCACTTCAGGTATTCTTCAGACAAGACGACATAGATGATGCATATAATTTTGTTCTAAACATGTTGTTTCAAGCAGGAAATCACAGTGGACTTGTACAGACAGCACTCACAAATACCCATGATGGGCTATGCTGTGGGGATAACTATATCCCCTTTTAAAAATGCCACAAGCAACAAATGACTAAAGTAATGAGTAATCTTAAGTCCCATAATCCCATGTCCAAACTCTAACATATTTTATGAACTGTATTAACCAGTGCATAAATAAAAATGACCTACTCCTCTATCTTTATGAGGAATCATTATGAATAGCACCAAGAATGGACAACTGTCTATATATTGTTCCCATTGCTCATATCCACACTTAAACAGTCCTGAAAGAGTGTCAAAGATGTGTTGGACGGCTTGGCGCCTGTGGCTCAAGTGGTTAAGGTGCCAGCCACATACACCTAAGGTGGCAGGTTCGAATCCAGCC